TGCCATAACCATCATCATCATCATCTTCATCTTCGCTTTCAACCTTCTTGTTCTCTTTTTCATTAGTGACATGATTCGCAGGCATGTAATTGGTCATAACTCGTTGAATAAAATTTTCTGCACTCAAATTGTTCCCTCTGTTCATACCATTCTCAGTCTCTTTGTCTTTAACTAGTGTGCTGATCTGATCCAGTGACCACTTCTTGTGCGAGACCGTAGGCAGAGTTCTGACTATTGCCCCCATTTCATCTCATCTGAGAGGGTAGTGCTGAGCTTGATTAAGAACAGTCTGCCTTTCATTGTCAGTGAAGTTGGTAAAAAAAATATGGCATCTTTGAGCTTCATCCAGATATGGAATTATTCTGGCAGTTCTGATAAATGTTTGGAGAAAAACATTGAAAGTGTCACACTTAGCTCTTCTGATGTTGAGGAGATCCTTGGTAGTTGTTGGAACAGAATCTTCCTCAAATTCTCTTTTCATTCTTTCTTTGACCTCTTCCCAGGTAGTGACCCCTTCCATCAATTCTTGAACAACCAACCTCGAGTCAATGTCACAATAAGATAGAAGGTGCTTAAGCCGTTGTTTATCTGTCCAACCATAATTGAGACCGAATAGTTCATATTCATCCAAAAAATCATTTACTTGAGGTCCTCTGAAGCATGAAATCCTCTCATCTGGCCTCTTTGTTCTTGCTACGATGGGGCAGGCGGTAGGATCCTCCGCTTCCGTTGGTAGCAATGTTGCCAGCACTTCAGGCACTGCTTCGGGAAACACGTCGGGCCAGTAGGAATAGTAGCTGTTCCTGCTAGGGTCGAGGTGGTGGACACACCCTCACCATCTCGAGAGATGGCCCAAGCTACTGACTCCACCGTCGTCCCGCGAACACATTCAGACCCATCGACCCTCTGTTCAATGAATGTGTTTGAGTCCTTAGAGGAGCTAGAGGAGGAGTGGTCTCGATTAGACCCACTAGCTTCTTGGACGGCACTAGTCAAAACTCCTATGGGTGAGATGTTCGTCAGCGAGGTAGTCATCAGCGGCCGTAAGGCCGGGGCCTATTATGACACTTGCTCGACACGGACCTTCATTAGTCGTGCGTGTGTTGAGAGGCTACGCTTACAAGGGCAAGTGCAGTGCCTGAGTCGACCTGTGGAGTCGACCTGTGGAGTCGACCTGTGGAGTGGACCTGTGGAGTCAACCTGTGCCAACAAACAGCGCATGGTACTCAATGACTACCTCCAAGATGTTGAGTTGTTTCCCGTACGCGGGAGGGGAACTGAGACATCGTGTCTCGTTCCTAGTGAGCGATGAACTCTCCATGGATATGTTGTTAGGTATGTACTACCTCTCTGTGGCACAGCCCCAGTTTGACTGGGACCGAAAAGTAGTCAAACACACTTTGCCAGGTGGGGGGACCGCCAGATTACGTAAGTTCAAAGCTATTAGTCTGCAAGTCCCACAAATGCATGTGTGCGGCCGCGTTCTATAATTACTATAAGCAAAATCAGGAGGAGGGTATGTATCTAGTTTATGTCTCTGTTGCAGGCAAGCCGGTGAAAATGCCGCCGAGATAGAGGGAGTAGTTGCTAAATACCCTGATCTATTTGAAGAGCCAAAAGGGGTTGTTGAGAGGGAGGTCGTCCACGCGATAGAGATTATCCCAGGGTCTAGCATCCCGAAGGGTAGGATCTATCGGATGTCTCCAGGCGAGCTTGACGAGCTTCGCCGGCAACTCAAGGAACTCATAGAAAAGGGTTGGATCCGGTCGAGTGTTTCTCCTTATGGTTCACCAGTCCTATTCGTACCGAAGAAGAGGGAAGGAACACTTAGGATGTGCATTGACTATAGGGGCCTCAATGCTGTCACTGCCAAGAACAATGAGCCCCTTCCACACATCGATGACTTGCTAGATAGAGTGCAAGGGTGTCGGTACTTCAGTAAGATAGATCTGAAGTCCGGGTACCATCAGATTGCAATCCGACCCGAGGATCAACACAAAACCGTTTTTCAGACCAGGTACGGTCTGTACGACTTTGTGGTGATGCCTTTCGGCCTTTGCAATGCTCCTGGCACCTTTCAGCACGCTATGAATCGGATATTTCATGACTACTTGGATAAGTTTGTCATCGTGTACCTCGATGATATACTTATTTTTAGTAAGACTGTCAAGAAGCAAGAAGCACGTTGCGTACTTGGACAAAGTCCTGAGTCTTATGTGACAACACAAGATCAAGATCAACGGTGAGAAGTGCGAGTTTGGCCGCACCCATGTCTTGTACTTGGGTCATGAGATTTCCGCGGAGGGATTAAAGCCTGATGACGCGAAGGTGGCCAACATTCGTGACTGGCTGCGTCCTCAGTCTGTGACTAAGATGAGGTCTTTCTTAGGGATGACCGACGACTATCGCAATTTCGTGAAGAACTATAGCATAGTTGCCGCCCCTTTGACTGACCTGACTCGCCTTGACACCTCATGGGAGTGGACGGACAGATGTGAGGCTGCTTTCAAACATCTAAAGCATGCGCTGATGCATCATGAGGTCTTGAAACTCCTTGATCTTGACAAGCCATTTGTAGTAACTACGGATGCTAGCCAATATGGCATAGGCGTCATACTTGCGCAGCAGGAGGGGAAGAAGTTGAGGCCAGTAGAGTACATGTCCAAAAAGATGCCCTCTCAGAAGTTGGCTAAGTCCACCTATGAGAAGAAACTCTATGCGATCTACAAGGCACTCACCCATTGGAGACACTATCTCCTTGGAGGTTCTTCTACGTCAGGACTGATCACCAGACCCTGAAGTGGATGAGAACCCAGCCTGTGCTCTCTGACGCTTTGAAGCGTTGGATTGAAGTCATTGAGCAGTATGACTTTGAGCCCCAGTACATCAAGGGCGAGTACAACAAGGTTGCTGATGCACTGTCTCGTAGACCAGATTTCTCTGGTGCGCTGATCACTGAGTTTGGGCTTGCGGACGATTTTACTCAATCTTTGGTGGAAGCCTATCGCGAGGACCAGTTCATGTCTGAGATCATATGCAGACTTCAGGCGAATGATAAGAAGACTTCTGTCGAGTTTGAGTTGATCAACGACTTGCTGTTCCTTGAGAAGGAAGGGAATAAACGTTTGTGTGTCCCAAATAGAGAGTTTTTGCGTAGTTTATTTTTAGGAGTGTAATGACCCGTCAAAACACAGACAGAGAACACTGCTGATTTCTGAAGTCCTGCCGATGGAATGGATGCCTTGCTGAGATTCCCGCATTCTGCTGTGTTTTCTAAGTCTGTCTGTGTGTGCGTGCTTGTGACCTGCGTGCCTGTCTGAGTGCTTGTCGGTATGAGTGTGTGTGTGACCCGCAAGGGTACTTGCTTGTTTGGCAGGCCCGTAGGGCCGGTACTTACCTGTGGCCGTGGCATTGAGGGTTGTGGCAGGGAAAAACACTCAAGTGGCGAAGCTAGCGGCCCCGCGGCCCTTGGGGTAGCAGAAAAACACTTAAGTAGGCCGGTAGGCCGATACTGCACCCCACTGCAGTTGGAGTGAAGGGGGTACTGGAGGCCGAGCAGAAAAAGACAAAGTTGGCATTTTTAGAGTCCAGTAGCGGTAGGGTAGGTCTAGGCCGGTACCAGTCCAACCAGTCTGAGTCTAGAGCCTGTACGGGTAATATCAGGGTCTGCAATGATGTTTCCCTCCGAAACGAAGGAAGGACCAGTTGCTTGGAGAGGCCGAGCGGCCTGGAAGTCACCACCCAGGAGGCAAGTAGGCCGCTATATCAAGAGGCAAGGCGGAGAGCCCAGCCTCATTCTTCAGTGTGCAAGTTTGGCGACACGGCTGAAGTGGCACTGGGTACTACAGCGCTGCTGGGAGGAAGAAGCCGGGAGCTTCCACCTTGGCTATGGTGGAGCTCTACCGGTAGGAGGAGGAGGGAGAAGGGGACCAAGCAGGAGAGTGGCGAGGCACTTACCTGGCTATGGTAGACACCATCTTCATCTCCTTGCTAGGCGCTGCATCAGGAAGGTCCCCGTTGGGGTAGTGCCGCATCAAGGAAACTCGGGACAGAGTCAGACGTGGTGGCTGAGTGGGCAGCGCCATAGCTGCCTGGTGATGACCTTGAGGTGGGGCAGCGGCATAGCTGCTTTGGGGTTGTCCTTTGGACGGAAGGCTGAAGCCTCAGTAGTCCGCCATAGCCTCGGCCTGTATGTAGAGGAAGAAGAAGGGTGGCCATGTCTATGGTGGACCTCATGTTGTGCCTGCAGTAGAAGTGGGATTCGGACATTGATTCTGGTTCAGTCATTCAACATTATTATTGTTATTTCTCATTTGAATAAGAAGGGAGGAGATAAGGAGGAAGGGATTGGTTGGCGAAGAAGAAGAGCCTTCACATTGCTCTATGCTGGAGTACATCATCATCTTCTTCTTTCTCACTTCTTCTTTTTCTTCTTTCCCTCTCTTTTCTCTCAAGTTCATTCATTTCTTTTTGCAATTGGATGGCATTGTGTTTTCAGATGAATGTGTACTTCGAAATTGGCCAGGATAGTAACATTGGTATCGGAGCGGATTCTACTTGCTGGCGAGAGTTGACTTTGCTGCCATAACCCTAACCCTAGTGGTAAGGGCTAACCACTTAGGGTTAGGGCTGGAAGTTAGGGTTAAGTGGGGCAGCGTGGTGAAGGGAAGTTGCTCCCACCTGGCAGGGCCGTGTAGGGTCGACACTAGACCCGGCCAGGTTGCTTGAGTGCATGTTTGTGGTGGCGAGACACAAGGTGGGACTTCGTGATGCAATTTGAGAGAGGCGACAGTGAAGGGCACCTACAACTTGAATCTGGACTTCAAGGAAGACGAGGAGTGACTTTAGGGTTCCACTCAAGTAGGCGAGCTTGAGGGTGGCAGCCATATCTGCACCTACGGACTGCAAGTTGCTGCTTTGAACTTCAACATCGACGGGGGATCCGGCTTCGTACTTTGGGGTAGATGTTGACCCTCCTAGACGATAGGACACTAGTGTAGAGGATGCTAATTGGGTGAGGAGGACTATGTGAGAGGGGGGTGAGTTCTTTTCATCTCAAGAGCGCGGCCACTCAGGTAAGTGTCGTGCCACCAGGGTGGCCATGTGTGTGTGCATGGAATTGACTGCCTGTTGGGGTTCTCTGGGTTCTTCTTCCATCCTCCATAGTCTTGATTGCGTGTGAGGTGTGTGAACTGCCTACTTACCTGACGAGTGAATGAATGGAGTATCTTGTTTGCCATGTGATATCTCTCTACAGTGCTTTGTTTATTTCATTTTGAACGATTGTAGTCTACAGGTTCTTTCTGGGGCAAAATTTCATTTTTTCAATTTGGTAGGGACAGAGTAGGTCTTTGTGGAACTCTTGTTGGTTGGGACCCGGTTCTGACTCCACTGGGACCGTTTGGGACTCAGTGGGACCGGGCCCAAACAAAAAGGGCCCCTCAGGCCAAATCTGTTGACGTCAGTTACCTTGCTCTATCTGATTGGGACTCGGACTTTATGCTTTCGGACCAGGATACTCACTGCGGAGGGGATCTCCGCTGGGACGTTTTATCATACTTTACCGCATGATCCGCCGCCTGACTCGCACCTTGGACACCACTCAATTGTCTCTTGCATTACACTACACACTTTGAATCTGATTTGCTGTGTCTTCACGGAGCTGAGTCCGACTAGGCTTGGGAGGACCCCATACGTAGTCGGGCCAGACTGTGTGGCTGGATCAGATCTCTCTGATCTTTATTTCTTTTGTTGTTTTGACTGCTCTCCAGTCCAAATGAAYTGCCGCTCCGGCTAGGAGTTCTACCTTCTCTTCTGACTGATTTCAAGCTGTTTCTTTCATTGGGTTCATTAATGCCTGCGTCTACACGATCGCAAACGAGAGAGAGAGAGAGAAGAGAGAAGCTTCTGAGTGTTGATCTTGAGGGAGTGAGGAGAAGGAAGAGGAGTGTTCATCCCAGACAAGTGAGGAAGTACGGACCTCTCTTGAGAGACTTGTTAATTCCTTCGTCCTCCATCATGGCATCGACAGCAGATTGGAAGCTGCAAATGGACGCTGCCCCTGAGGCAGAGAAAGCACAGTACCGATTCTTCTATGAGAAAGCATTGAAGAGGGAGGAGGAAGAGAAAGAGAAGGAGAGGGAGGAGAAGGTAAAGGCTCATGAAGCCATTTTCTATACCTTGCCTGCCCTAACTGATGAGGAGATGGAAGAGAAAACTGTTCCACTCCTTCGGGCTTTGGTAGACATTCGGGCTGTTGAGGACCATACTGGCCAGCTCGCCAAAGTGTTCGACGAACTCAAAAAGTTGCGAGATGACATGGCCCTGATGGTGCAGCAGCACCGTGACCAGTTGCAACAGTTCGCTAATGTGCAGCCAACCCAAAGTATCCTTCCGCCTGCTTACCCTGCTTCTAGTGTTGTGTGTCAGTCCGTTCTTGCCCCTCTGAATGTGTCTTCTTCTACTTCTTCTTCTTCTTTGAGTGTGACCAATAGACTATCTAGATCTGCAGCAGGTTCAGACCCCGCTGCTGCTGCTGCTGCTGCAGCAGCAAGTAGTAGCGCAGGGCATTCGGGAACTGTTGCAGTCCCGAGTTCGGACCCAGCAGCCGCTGGTCCAAGCTGCAGCTTTTCCTATATGGATAGAAAGGCGGCCCAGATTCCGTCTAAGCATGACGAAAAGGACGACATCGAATCTTGGATCAGCTCCATGCGATCCTACTTCGATGTGCTAGGGACACTCCCAGTTACTCAGTCGTCGGTCCTAGGGACCAATGTGGAACCCGTCGTGAGAGGATTCTTGGAAATCCAAGTTGTACAAGCAGGCTACAAAAGGATAGACCTGAACAAATGGCTGAAGGCTACGCCGGTAGCCACACTCGAAGAGCTCTTGATCAAACAGTATGCTGATCCACATGCTGCAGCCAAGGCTAAACTCAAGCTTGACAAGCTCAAGCACAGCAAGTGGACCGACACCATGCACAGCCTGCAGCAGTATGTTAGTAAAATCTTTGCTACTCCGGATCTGGAGATGACTACGCAGTCCTGTCTGGATGTGATAAAAGGTACGGTCCCCTCTACTATAAAAGATCGACTCAGCGCATATACAGATTGGCTTACCCTCATGCAGGACTTAGTCAAGCTGGAGGCACAAGACCTCCCGGGTGGATCAAGTGGCAAAAAGACCACCAGCCGCAAACGGTTTCCAGGCAGCAACCGTTTTGCAGCACACGATCTGCTTGAGGCTTGCGAGGAGACCCTCGTGGAGGAATCTTCTCTTGATGACGATCAAGAGCAAGACTGCGGGGTATCTTGCCCTTTGTCAGCCCATGAGTCTGAGTATGTGAACGACGACGAATCTATGAATGCCTTTAAAAAGACTGCCTTTAAAAGTAAGGGATCGAGGACCACAATGAAGAACAATACTAACACCATTCTTCTTCCCAAGCGAGCGAAAATTCCACCCAAACCGCAAGATCCTGCCACAAAACCATGGGTAGATCTCCGGATCAGTGAAAGTGAGTGGAAACACAGGGTGAAGAAAGGGGTTTGCCTGCATTGCACTAAACCGGGACATTTAGTCCAACAATGTTTCAGATTGCAGCAGGGAAACCAGCAACGGGGGTAGAGACATCATCAGCACACTTTACAGATGGAGAGGCTGAACATGTAAGTACAGATCCTTTTCTGGATTCTGATCAGCAAACCTCTCCTGAAACCCCATCTGATGCTGATTCCAAGGCTGAGAAGATACACATCCTATACAAGGAGCCTTGGGTAGAGTCAGAAGAAATTGACTTTCATGCTATGTTGACGCGCTGGGCTCATATGAAGCAAGAACGCGCGCAAGGGAGGACGAAGTTGATCTTTTTCAAACTCTACATTAATGGTCGTTACATCCGTGCGTTGGCTGATTGTGGTGCAACCGCCAACTACTTCTCACCGCACGACATTCGTAAGGCACGCTTGGGGATGAAGCAAGTGACCTTGCAGAATCCTTGTCGGACCCAAGTGGGCAACCAAGAGGTTGTCACATCTACGCATGCAGTCAAAGGTGTGCGCACTACCTTTGACGCTGACCGCACGATCACGCATGAGTTGAACTTCTATGTCCTTGATCAGTACCCCTTCGACACGATTATTGGCTTGGGCTGGTTGCAGGCCCAATGTGAAAGAACCACGTGGAAGGACTCACAATTCATGGTCAAAGATGCCATGGGAATCGAGCGTCCAGTCCTCTTGGATGAGCCGCGCGAGTCCCAAGTAACTTTTCTCAATGCAATGCAATTCTGCAAAAAGTGGCGCAGGCGCAAAGTTGATGAGCACATGTATATAGCCTTTGTTGGGCCTACTCATGTGCCTTCTATTTTTGCTGTACATAATGATTCTACTTTGCATCTTGTTTCTACTTCTGATGCAACTACGTCTACCTCTACTAAATCCAACTCTAGTCCAAATGACTCTATTTCTAATCCGGTTGTGTTGGCTGCACCTATGACATCTGATATGCTTACTCCTGAGAGTGATGATCCTCCTCAGGAAGTCCCGCTGGAAAATCGCAACCTTCTCAACCGATTTCCTGAAGTCTTGAACGAACCGCATGGAGTTCCCGTGCGTCCGGTCCGACACAAGATCGAGTTGATTGAAGGTAGCACTCCTCCAAAAGGTTGTGTCTATCGAACGGGCTCCTTGTGGGTTCCTATGACCTGTGTAAAAATTTGAAGGAGGAACTGCCAAGGATCCGGAACTCAGTCCCATCCTTGAGTAGATTACGGCTGACCCTAGCAGTCAGCCTGATTTCCATGAGTGTAAGGGTCTTCTCTTCCGACGCTACGGGAAGCATGACCGACTGTGTGTGCCCAACCATGAGCCGATCATGACCCACTTCTTGGATTTGGCTCACGGCCGGAGTGGACACTTCGGTGTTGAGAAGACATACAGGAATCTGTTGGAAAAGTTTGTGTGGCCTGGAATGAAAAGAATGGCACAAAGGTTTGTGGTTGAGTGTGAAGTTTGTCAACGCATCAAACCGTCTCGGCAGAAGCCCTATGGGCTGCTGCACCCTCTTCCTATCCCTGATGGCCCGGGTGAGTCTGTTTCCATTGACTTCACGGACATGGGGAATGGTGGATTTCCTACAGGCCTTGACATTGGTCTATGCTGTAGTAGAAGTGGGATTTGGACATTGATTCTGGTTCAGTCATTCAACATTATTATTGTTATTTCTTGTTTGAATAAGAAGGGAGGAGATAAGGAGGAAGGGATTAGTTGGCGAAGAAGAAGAGCCTTGACATTGGTCTATGCTGGAGTACATCATCATCTTCTTCTTTCTCACTTCTTCTTCTTCTTCTTTCCCTCTCTTTTCTCTCAAGTTCATTCATTCATTTCTTTTTGCAATTGGATGGCATTGTGTTTTCAGATGAATGTTTACTTCGAAATTGGCGAGGATCGTAACAGGAGAATGTCATGACGCCACCGACCATTTTGGTTTCAAGAAGACTGCAGCCAATTTGTTGCAGCGGTTCTGGTGGCCCACGATGATGAGAGATGCTAAGCTGTATGTGGAGACTTGTAAGGTCTGTCAGAGAGACAAGCCCCGTACAGAGGCCCCTCTTGGGCTCCTCAAGCCCCTTTCGATTCTGGAAATGCCTGGTGAGAGCCTATCCATGGACTTCATGGATACCCTGGTAACCAACAAGAGCGGAATGAGACACATCTTTGTTATTGTGGATAGGTTTAGTAAGTACGCTAGGTTAGTTGCAATGATGGAGACAGCGAAGACTGATCATGTGATTAAGCTGTTCAAAGAGAACTGGTTGGATTATCGAAGTCTATAGTCAGTGACCGTGATGTGCGATTCACAAGTGAACCGTGGAAAGTCGCAGCTGCAGAACAGGGAACGCAGCTACAGATGACATCAGGAAACCATCCCGAGGCGAATGGACAAGCAGAACAGTTGAACCGCGTTGTACAACACCTGCTGAGGCATTACATCATGCCAAATCAGGTAGACTGGGATGAGAAACTTGCTCTCATTGCCAGCCTGTACAACAATGCGGTCCACAGTGTAACGGGCGTGAGCCCGAATAGTCTGCTATTAACCCTTAAGCCTAGACTGCCCTTGGATTTCTTACTACCTGAGAACCAGCCCCCTGCTGCACCTGGGACTTTAGAGTTTGCTTATCAATATGAGCAGCTGATGCAGCAGGCTGTTGAGCAGATGCACAAAGCACAGGCGGCGATGATAGAGTTTGAGAACAAACACCGCCGCCCATCCACGTTTCAGATAGGAGAGAGAGCCTGGGTCAAGTCCTCAGAACTGGGACAGGAGCACGGGATCTCCCGCAAGCTCATGCCACCAACCATGGGAGATTCTGGATGTTGTTGGGAATGAACCAGATGGGCCGTCTTATGTTGTTCGCATCCCTGGTCACTTACGCACTTACCCTGTTTTCCACGCCTCAAAGCTTGCACCTTTTAAAGAAACAGATCAGTTTCCATCTCGTCTCTCAATGCTGCCCCCAACCATGGATGGAGAGGTCGACATCGATGATATTGTTGACCACCGGGAGATGCCAGCTCCAAGACTAACAGGCAGAGGACGTCCTCCAAAACCGAAGCTGCAGTATCGAGTTTGGTTCAGACATCACACTGATCCAAAGGAGGACAGATGGTTCACAAGGGAGGAACTGATGCAGACCGCTCCACGGGTAGTTGCCCACTACGAGAAGTCTTTACGGAAAGGAAAGTGCCATATTATCGAAGACTGAACTTCTCAGAGGACTAGCAAAGTATGGAGGAGGAAATGCGAGGCACAAGGCCTCGATAAGCCCCACTGCGCCCTATTTGCAACAGCGTCGGCCGCCCTAAGTGAAGGCAGGCCCGACAGACCCTCAGAGGCCTATTTTGGACTACTTCGCAACTGGGGAAAATTCAGGCAGTTGCGCTGCGCCAGTTGGTTGGAAGCGCCCAGGCCCTGACTTCCTTTATCAAATGCATCTGAGTCAGGCCCTGGGCGAGATTCACATCATAGGCCCAACTCAGGTTGCGGGCAGTTGGGCACATGTACCTGTCAGCAGCCCTGGGCCAATTCGTTTGGTCTGGGCCTCAATCTACCAGGGCCTACCGGAAGCTTCTTGGGAAAGGCCCAGCGCAGCCTTGGACAGAATGCAGGCAGGCCACTTCCATATAGCAAAGGGCCTGCCTCCTCATTGGACATTTGGGTGCTGGCTGCATGCTGCGCAAGCGCTGCTGCGCTGAAGCGGGCTGGCGCTCACGTGCTCACGGGCGAGCAGGAAGGAGCAGGCAGCCATAGCCGAGCTGCGCTTCTGTGAGTTGGATGTGGCGCAGGGTGGTCCTTGGGTGCATGTGGCATCTGTGTGTTGGGGAATGAGGTTATGAGTGATGCGAGAGACATACCTTGTGCTGGAGCGTGCGGCATTGGCCGCTATCTGGTCGTACTTCGGAAGAGTTGTTGTCGTCATCTTCGGCATTGTAGTATAGGCTAGATAGGATATGCCATCTGTAGTCTGGGCGCCGAGCGCCATATAGGATATCAACATTGGTTCTTCGTTGATGATGATGATGAGACTATTCCAGCATTGTCAATTATGAGCTTTTGGTGTACTCTTATTTGGTGAAACTCGTGATGCAATTCTGCTATTGGTCCGAGGTCACGACTAACTGGTCTTGTGTGTATGATGCTGTTTGATTGCTGAAGTTCGCTATTGATCATCTTCTTTGTAACCTCCCTAGTTCACCTAAATGCCCAGAGTAAAACAGAAAACGAAATGCTAATATCCGAAGTTGTGAAAAAAGGAGAAAAAAATTTGCAGAGATTTGACGAAGTCCTACTTGATTTACTAATAAACAGTCAATCAATCAATCAATCATTCAACAATCAGTAGATCAAGCAAGTTGGCTACTTGATTGGGCGGATCCTCTGATTGAGAGGTTTGCTCCGATACCAAACTGTCACATACTGTAAAAGTGCAGACCAGAACAAGAACCGACCTCTCTCACATAGTACAAGATAGCACAGCGGAAGGCTAATATACCAATTATCCGAACAATGAAGGCTAATATACCAATGATCCGAACAATCAATGTCGCAATGCAGACCAAACATACGCCATCATCGTTCCATGGTGTGAAGGGGCCTGGAGCTCACACAGGAAGAATGCGCCTGTCCCCAACCATACATAGACAAAGAAGAGGGGGGTTAGACGAAGAAGAGGGGAAGATGGGAATGTCGTCAACACCAAGTCTTCGGTACAGGTCCCGAATAATCCCTCGTCCAATGCCTCAATCCCAATGTAGAGTCTGGATCCAAATGTCATCAAGTCCCAAACTCACCAATCTCTCTCTCTCTCTCTCTCTCTCTCTCTCTCTCTCTCTCTCTCTC